TAGTAATGCTTACAATATTTAAAATGTGTAAATCATTATGCATAACCTAGTTTTATAAATGTTAAATAACTGTGCCAAGCATATATTTAAAACATTTTTTAAATTATTTCCCTTTAGCTGTGGTTACACTGACCAAAAAAAAAAAAGCTCCAAAAAAAAAACAATCATGTAATTGTCAAATCTTTTTTTTCCATTTGTGCTATTTTCAGCTGAAAGTACAACTGAAACCAAGCAGCAGCTTACATTTATTTTTACACCAAATTAAATACATGATGAAAATCTCATTTTTAACCATTATAGATAAAGCCTTAATCATCTAATTTCTTATCTTCATTCTAACTCATTAATAACAGAATATTAAGTGATTTGTTCTCCCTAACTAAAAATCAAAACAAAAGGATAACTTCATATAATGATGACATAACTATCATACAAGTGGTCTTTATTTTAAAAGATAGTTAACAAAAAAGCTGTCCTGCATCATAATATTTTTTTTTTTGTTGAAACAAATACAATGAAAATTGCCTTTAGAATTTATTGAACAATATAAAACAAAAATTGGACACAAATTTACACAAACTGTTTAAAACACATTGCTGGTGTTCATTCAACACCTTAAATTCGTACAATAGCTTATACTAATAGCAATTTCAACATGGTGCAGTCACACCAGATGTGTTCATGTGCTGTACAGAAGAGTGACTGATTTTATCTATTCCATATTTTGACAAATTGGGGAAAAAATGGTAACAAATGGTGAGTAGTAGCTAAATCCTAAAACACAAGCTGCCTTAAGACTTAATTGAATTGTTGCTGCCCAACTGAATTGGAAATTTTTTCAAGATTTGCAGTTATCAGCTATGCATAAAGACAGCTTGTGGGTGATGACACATTTTTCAACATCTTTTATTTCTTAAGTTCTTCATATTTGTTAAGTTAGTATACTTTATAACTTAAGAACGCATACATGTTTTGCCTCTTCTGAGAGTAGACGTAGCATCCATAAATGAGATACAAGTGAAATGAGTGTGATCAGATAAGGTCATCACTACTCAAGTGGTGAAATCAGTGTAGTAGGTAGCCATTATTCTGAGGTTTATTGAACCAATTCATACTATGCTCTTAACCTCCCACCAGAAAATAAAATAAAATAAAATCGTTCCTGTTTTAACCTTATAGTTATTTTTTTCTCATTACTTTCTTTTTCCATTTTACTTATTAGGCTATTTCTAAGTACCATGGTGATGTCAAATCTGCGGGTTGTGTTTCTAGAGTCTGCAGAGCTCCACTGGGAAGCTTAGAAGTCTCTGCCGATTATTCTGCAGTGTTTGAAGCCAAATAACCTAGAACCTACCCAGAGTTCATAGTAATAAATGGTCTAATTCTCTGTGCAAGCCGTAGGCCAATTTTATTTTTCACTTGAATATAATCATAAGGAAAATGGAAGTGAGGGTAGAATATGATCCATTAATTAGTTAGAGGTTTTGCTTCCCTGAAACCCAGTTTGCCCAATAAACCTGGGATGTTGTGGAATTCGGCTGTTTCCTTTATTTTTGCTGCAGGCCTTTATTTATTGCATATGGTAGTATGTTAAAGAACTAATCTTATTTAGGAATGAAAGGTAGTGAGAAGTTAGATTTCTATAGTTAGTATCTCTAAAAAAGACAATATTTCTAAAGAAGATAAGTTAATATTTTTAAAGTAGCAATGTACTCGTCATGAAATGTTTAATAAAGAAATTTTTTTTCTCATGATTGTGCCTTTTCTATTATTTTGAGTGCTTTTTAATTGAAGACAGTATTATGTTATATTGACAATGATGAATCCTGGCAAATCTGCTTATAGCTATACAATCTTTGGGCAAGCCACATTATATATCTAGTTCTCAGTCTTATTATCTAATAAACAGAGAAACTAAGAATAGATCATTTGAAAAGTTTTTTTTTAAGTTCTGACAATTGTATTTTGTTCATAGACTTGCACTTAAAAGTAAATTTAGTAACAGCTCCTATGAAACCATGAAAATACATATGATTTTTAAGAAAATGATACATGTCTCCCCTCTAAAAGTAAAAATCTGATTTATGCCCTTGGATTGCCATTAAACACAACAAAAACATAAAATTATTTTTATCTTAATGAAGCAACTTATATAATATAGCAGCATGTTTATAAAATGTCATTTCCAAAAGGCAGGATATTCTATCATAAAGAACAAACTATAGCCCATACTTTAATCTGAAGAATATTAAGAAGAAAATTATCATTTGGAGACATTTATGCAAATCCTATCTAAATATATTACTAGACTTTATTTTAAAATTTAAAATACTGTGCAAAAAAAGATATGATACAGTAGCACTTAACTTTAACACACATTTTTTTCAGTTCATTAATTCAAGAAATATTTGAAAAAATACTATGTGCCAAGAATTCTACTTGATACTAGAAATACCACAGTGAGAAAACTGACAAATTCGTGGCCTTTATGGGGCTCACATTCTAGGCTGTGTGATAGTAATGTTAGGGGTGTAGAAGTGGAAGGGTAGACAGAAAATAAAAAAGCAAATTTATAGTTTGTCAGAGCATATATAGGGGATAGGGAGGGCAGGAGAGAGAAGGATTTGCCTTTACTGATGAGATAATATTTGAATAAAGTCCTAAAGAAAGTGAGTGAGAGAGCTCTGTAGGGCAAAAGGAACAACACACTAAGAAACTTGCTTGCCAGCCAGAGTAAAATAAGTAAGAGGCAGAATGGTAAGAAATGTACTAAAAAACTTGTGTGCTTGTGTGTGTGTGCGCGTGCGTGCGCGCCCGTGTGTGTTTGCATGTGTGTCAGTGCACGCACAAAGAGAGAAGTGTCATTCATGAAGGATCTTAAAGACCACTGCCAGAAGTTTGGTTGGAGAGACATGAGAAATCATTGGAGAGTTGTGAGTACTTCTGACACAATCTAATATATACTTAAGAGAATCATTATGGCTGTTGTATTGAGAAAAGCCTATTTAGAGGCAATGGTTAGGAAATTAGGGAACAACATTATGAGCATATTGCAATTAAAAAGGTTAGAAGTAGTGACATATATTAGACGTGGTAAGTTGGTTTCTGGTTACATTGCAAATATAGAATCAAAAGAATTTCTGATGGATTAGATGAAAATTGAAAGAGGAAGTAAGGAGTCAAAATCGACTTTAGGTTTTTCATCTCAGCATTTGAAAGGTTGGAGTTGGCATTAACTGCAGTGGGAGAGATCTCAGAAGAAGAAGTTTGAGGTCATTTGAAACATCCATTAACCTCCATAGATAAGGAAAATATCAGATAAATGCATTGTGAATCCAATCATGATTTTAATTTTCTGTACTGAATACAATAAATATTTTTGCAAAGAAAATTGAATTAGTCATTGCTTTCTATATTTTTTAGTGTTTTATAATATTTTATGTCATTTTTTGTCTGTTAGACATTCTAATAGCATATGCTCATACCATCTGAGGATTCTTTGAAAATTCTTCTCTGGCATGAAACTCAAGTAGTTTTCATTTTTCTTGTATTTTTGCTATTGACCGTAATGAACTTTCACATACTTTAAATGAGCTAAAATGTGTCAAATTCAATTTCGATGGAGTAGCTGTTTTTTTTTTTAATTTGTCATTCACCATTTTCTAGAAAATATATTCATTTTGATTTGACAAATCTTTAATAGTAGAACAGATTGTATAAAAGAGTCTTTGTGTATTTAAGCTTTTTAAGTTTAATGGCAAATGTACAGGGACATTTTATCATAATCTAGTCAGGACAAGAAGAAAAGGGGAGAAAAGGAGAGTAAAAGGAAAATATGATTGTTATAGTCGGTCCTCAGTTGACTTGTGAGGCCACCACCAATTTAAAGTAGTGGTTCACTAGCTCTTGGGAGTCACATCTTCTTTATGAGCTTTCTGTAAGCAACGGATTCTCTACTGTGGAAAAAAAAAAGTCCCAACACTCAAACTTTTGCTTATGATTTTAAGAAATTCAAGGATTCCCAGAGACCTCAAGGTGAGGGATATCTACACTTTAAGTAGTAAACCTGAAGTGCTCCAGGTTGTAGCATTCTTCCTTAGAGTTGTACCAGTATAAAGCCAAAAAGGAAGGACCGCTAGCTGAAAAAAATTATATAAGATTTTGCTGGCCTTCAGAAAAAGTCCTCCTTTCATTAGAAAGTGTGTGTGTGTGTGTGTGTGTGTGTGTGTGTGTGTGTGCGCGCGCGCGTGCGCGCTTGAGAGAGAGAGAGTATTACTTTGCCTATACCCAAACTGATTAATATTTTCTCTCAGAGCTTTTTAAGAAAAGATGAGAGTCAAAGACATGGCATCTTCTACTCTAAAGGGTGTATCTTCTATTTGCCCCTTTGAATTTCTCTTAGATGCTAAATGAATTTATAATGAATAAAATATATACATATTTAAATGATGTCAAATACTAAAACTTATTTGCACAAATCTCACCGATAGATTTTTCTGCCTTTTCATGTCTTCTGGTATGTAGTTTGAACACAAAGGGTTTTAAGATAGAAAAAGAACATGTGAAGTTAGCCTAACTATAATTATGTTCCTTGAGCCATAATTTATGGCAAATGGTATCTAGCAGTTTAATTAAAATAAAGGTTTAATGGATATGTATTGAGTTTATTCCCCTGGTGATGAAAACTTTAGATAGTCTAGCATAGCAATGAAATTCTGAGAGTAATGTATTATTTTTTATATAAAATTAAAATTAAAAAATTATTTTTATATAAAATAAAAGTGATATAACTAAAGTCTTTAAATGTGAAAAAATTTAAAATTAGGGTTAATGCTGTACCCTTTACCTACACTTCTGTACAGCATAAGTAACAAGTCACAGCCTCTAGAGTGAAGAGAAAAAGGACTATATAGTTTATGTGAGACAAAGACAAGTGGTTAAGGATTGAGTTTCTGAAGTCAACTCTGGGACCAATATTATTGTTACACACTCGGCCTGTTGGAAGTGATTGCAACCTGAACAGGGTATCTTTTAAAATGATTCTATTGTGCAATTTAGCTTCATCTTGCTACCCTCAAGGCTTAGCTTGTGTCTTCTGATTACATGTACTTTAAATTGAATTTTCAAATTCTGCTCTTTTTTGTTTGCTTGTTTTGTTTAAATGTGGTATTTTTATAAGAACTCTATGAGAAGTCAATATCTAATTTAATTTTAGGGCGGGGATACAAAACTCAGAACTCATTTTGTTCAATGAATTCATTGCTCAGAAATAATTCAATGTGTGACCTTGCTGTTGGTATAGAAATTCGATATGTTTCCATGAAGATCCAGTATAAAATAATTGATACTATTTCACAATGAAGATATTTTATAAGGCATTTACATTGTCTCTCAGTCACCATGACAATAAAAAATAAAAATAACCCCTAACTAATCCTATGACAAGAGGGCAATAAAGGTTTTTTAAAGCAAAGAAACTGTTTCTTAAGTTTTCCTGATGTTTAATAACAGTTTGCTGTTATTTATATTTTTTATGTGCTTTTGATCAGATACAAATTTTAGTAGGGAAATAAGCAACATTCCTAAAAATGAATTATAAAGAACTGTGTTTTAGAATACTAAAAGGATTTTAAATATTTCAATTCAGTAAAGTTAATATTTTTCCTTAATTGAAATAATGCAAAAACAAAAGTGTAGACACATTCATGGCTGGGGGAAACAGTCTTCACGCCCCCAAAGTCATATTCCTTAGCAGCCACTGTTGGGATCTGTTTCCACTACAGTCCTGCATGGTAGGCACCATTTTGTCTTCTTCAGAAGGTTCATCAAGACATTGGTTACTGTTAACATGTCTCAAGGTAAGTCTCTGTAAAAGATAACCAATAATCAGTGCAACATATTTTGTCTTTAACTTTACCAGCATATTGGCTTAAATCTACTCTTTAAAATAAATCTTTATGATTTTTTTTAGTATAAACACTGTGATATGTTTGTAAAAGAAACTGTGCACAGGTGGCTCTGAATTAATTATTATACAGTTTTCACTGTTATGGTTTCATCATTATCTAATACACCTTTATTTGCAGATGGTTAAAGAAATTGGCCATCATTTATCATGCATTTCCAGAAATTCGGGCTCCTTTGCAAAAAAACCATTTGTGAACTCTGAGTTCATTCGAGGGCTGTAAATATTAATGAGCTTTCACAATAACTTAGTTTCCTTAGGCATGTGTTATTCATTAACCATTCGGTAAACATTCAAAGAGATGTCACAGCTGTGACCCACATGAACAAAACTGCTAGAGATGTTGCCATTTCAAAACACTAAAAAAGCCATAGTATCTGTGACTGAGAAATTCATTGTAGAAGAGAGATTATCATAGCAAAGATCTGTCCTACTTGATAGTGTGCTCACCATATTTTGGTTTGCATTTTTGAAATTAAAAAAAATCAATATCAAATAAAGCCATGGATGTGATGGTCATATATTTTTAATATTACATCTATATTTATTTTCTTCATAATACCTATATTCATTAATAAGCATCCTGCTAGTACTCAAATGCTAAAATGTAATTCCAAAAATTGTACCTTGTTAGCCAGTCATTACATGTCATCTCTTTTGAGTTCATATTTACATTTTAAAGTCATTTTAAAAAATTTTTAGATATATATTTTAAGTCCACATTCTTTATACTAATTTATACAAACTAATTATGTACATTTTTGCTCAGTTTCATGGACAACACCAAGAACCATACTATATGAACTACTTTCCAACCAGAAGAGAAGCGTTTGAGTAGAGATAATTTACAGGTTCATTTTGAAAAAAAGCATGCCATATACTTTTATTGCAAATTACCAAAATTAAAGGTAGACAATTTTTTTTTTTTGCTCTTGATATTACAGTTGAAAATTGGATGAAGAAAATGCAGGGGGAGTGCATAAAAAATCATGGAGAAACACTACCTAGACAATTGTAATTTGTTTAGATGAGAACTGCAAACACCCTGGACTGCAGCATCCTGAGAAAAGATGGAATGGAAAATAGGCTTGTGATGGAGGATGCTTAATAGACAATGAGCAGGAAATTAAAAGAACAAGGCTGTTAGAGGTGAAGGAGATTTGAAGATTGAGGCCTTTGTTGTTGCTCTTTGAATACATGGAATCAAGCTATTTATACTGAAAAATGGAGAAAAAAGGAAATGGCCAAAGATAGGCAAGAAGGTAGTTGATAAATGCTTATGATGCCAGAAATTATGGTGTTGGCTTATGAACCAAGAGCAAACTTGAAAAAAATTTCAAAACAAAATAAAAACAATTTCTTTCTAGAAAGTTCTAGTTAAAAATCAACAAAATAGTCTTCATTTTCGTTACATACTTGAGGTCCTTTGTGTATACCTGAGGACCTTCTTTGAGGTCCCTTTTTCAAAAAAGCTACTTACTTTTGCTTGCTTCTATTAGATACTTAAAAAAATGTGTATGACTTTAAGGATCAAATTGAATATGTGTTGTCAACTATATAAATAAGATTTTTTTTAAATATTAATAAGTATTGTTCCTTCTAAAAAGTATATAAATATCTTCTTTGAAGGAATTCATTAATATCAAAAGCCACAGCTATAAAGATAACCAACCAATTAAAATTCTCTCTCATTTTTAATATGCAGTAAAAGCAGAAGACATTTTAGGGTTAAATAGCAGTTAAGTGTGAATTTCTGCCCTCTCGCTTATTGGTTCTGAAAACTTGGGCAAGTTACAAAATTATTCTGAGGAATCAGATTCTTTGTCAGAAAATGCTTAGTTATACATAGGAATACTTAAAAATGCCCTTTCCTTTTTGCTGACCTTCAATCAGCTATCTAACTATGATCCTTTGGCAACCTGATAAGGATAAAAATGTTAGCTATGTTTCTAGGCAAGATTGCTTATGGCGAAAATGACCTCTGATTGATAAACTGTACCTACATTTAATAAACTTAATTATAAATAATTGATAGAAACCTAAACTGTGGGCTTTTCTCACTGCAAAGACACAGAGTTTTACATGTTCCATTGATTTACTTGAAAGCTCTACTTATGGGGTTCTCACAGCAAGGTATTGGACAATGTAATATACTTTATTTACAGGACAACAAAAATCTTAAGGTTGAGAATTAGGACATGCTGGTAACTGTATTCTTTACAAGAATTCCATACCGTTGTTTTTTTTTTTTTTTTAACTCAAACTGAATAATGATTCATTTTATTGCTTGCTGAGAAGATTTTTACAAATCAAAGTGAGAAATAAAAGGTACACTTTTAAAAAAGCCTTTATTATAATTATATCATTTAACCAACCAAAAAGAAATGCTTAGAATAAATGACTTCATAAAGTCATTGCTAAATACATCTTAGTCTTCGATAATGCATTTGCTTAAAGTTTCAGCTTAAAATAATAAATTCCAGAAAAAATATGCTATATCTTCACACAACCAAAGTAAATAAATTAAAATTAACAAAATTAAATTATTTCAATGTCCCCCCCAAAATCCATTTCTGGCTATGTTAATTTTCTTGTTGATTTTTTTCAGCTCTAATGCAAAAATCTATTGTCATAATATGGCTATACTTAGTCTAAAAAAGAGCTAATGTTATTTTTCATCAATTATATTTATGTATACATATTTGGAATCAAGAAAAAAACTGGACAATGCCTATTAATTATAGACTAAACATTACTTAACATATGTATACTCCAAATTAATGAGCAACTAAGAAGAGAAAAATAAATACATAAAATAGCTCATACGTTTACATTTTTAAAAAGTTTCTAGATTTCAATAATAAAGCATAACAAAAATACTAAACTAATATTGATAAAATCTGTAACACAAACCTCCAAAAATTATTAGAGAACGTAATCAGTAGGATTCTCAAAAATATTTCTAAAAACTTCCATTCTTGTATAGTTTCTTAGTAGCCATTTTTGCAAAGGGCTATCGTTACATATTTCCACAGTGGGCTGTTGGAAGCCATCAGCTACTTTGCTTACTGTGAGACAGGACTGGGTGGTTATGTGAAGAAGAGTGTAGGTCTGTTTGACAAAGAAAATAATGAATAATGACAAAATCAAGTACAAAGGCAGTAATAAATCAATCATTCTTAACAACATACAATTTCTACCGGATAAGAATGGAAGGCACACATCACAATAATTGCAAAGATGGAGTTA